AGGATTGGCTGTTGCACCAGCGGCCTGCGGAGCTAGGATTGGCTGTTCTCGGGGAACTTGACCATCCTCGACGGCAACAGGGTAGGGGAAGGGTCCTGGCAGCGGTTCATGCGTGAGCCAGGAAGGCAGGCGACCTTCGAGTGTCTGAGTAATTTTATGATTTCCAGATAATACAAACATTCTGCTGTCCTGCACAGAGAAGAAATTTTGCTCAGGCAAAATTCCTCCCTCATTTGCTTCTTAGAACCAACTTGGTGAGACAGAGTTTATTGGTAGTCTGACTTTACGGATGGAAGATGCTGAGGGGAAAGAGGAGAGGCCAGCACCCTGTGGCCGGGGAGCTCAGAGCCCTCATCCTCTCTACGCAAAGACAGAGCTTTCTCCAACAGAGATGGTGCTCCAAGCCTGAGATGTTATCCGAGTACAGGAGGAACTGTATTAGTATTTACTGAGCTCTGTCCTGTGTGCCAGGAACACTTGAAGGGTTTTACATGTGTTAACTCATTTAATCCTCACAGGGAGTAAGGGGTAGGCACTATCTTTATTATTCTACAAAATTGGAAAACTAAGGCCCCCAAGAGGTTAAGTTTCTTGCGCAAGGTCCTAGCGCTGATAACGTGGCTGGGATCAAACCCTCCAGAGCCTTTGTTCTTAATCCCTCTTGTGAGTGTCACATTCTTTCATCCTTCCTTCCTCCTTCCTCTGGCTCTTTCTTCCCCTTCTGTCCCTAAATATTAGGCCCTAGTAAGAACTGAAATGATAAATCAATATAAAGAAAATGTTTGTTGCTTTTTTTTTTCTTCCCCCATCACCAGTGCTGCTGCCTGGTAGGTTCTCAACCTGGAGTGTGTCTCTGGCTGGTTTTTCTGAGGAGGGAAGGGTCAGCATTATTAAGGCATCTGCATCTTCAACCCAGTCACTCTTGAAGCCAACGGCATGAGGGATCACAGGTGCTTTGTGGCCTGACTGGCCAGGACTGAACCCCGGGCTTGGCAGTGTCAACCAAAACTCCATCTCTGTGACCTAACCCAGGGCACAGTATCCCCGGGCTGGCATCCACACACACACCCGGGGCAGAGTCCCTGCTGGCTTCCCCGCAGCCTGGACCAGGTTCTGTCCTGGAACGGCTTGCAGAGCAAGCCTGCTTGTGCTCTCCTCACCACACCTCCCCAGAAAGCAGGTGTGCAAGTGGGCAAGCCAGCCGATGAGGTGGCTGTCCCCCTGATGTTAAGCACAAGGTTTATTAACCTGCAGAGCATCAGAGCTTCATTTGTGACTGGCCGGTCCTCAGCAGCCTGCTTTTGTCATTCGTGTCACCGACCGTATTTTGCTGCCACGGCTTTATTAGAATGTGGTGACACCTTGCAATCGCTCCTTTGTTTGGGCCCATTGACCAGACCATATGTCTGAGGGGTCTCTGCCAGTAGATCTAGCGTATATTAATTAGCTCTGCTTGGGCTTCTGCAAACACTGCCAGCCTCGTCATGGGTCGAAAAGGTATCTTCGGGGACAAAGATACAGAGGAATGGACAGGCCCGGGTTTTTTGGCCCTGAGGTTTGTATAATCGTGAGGGCCCTCTTTAAGAAAAAGAATACAACATTATGAATATGAAATTTCTGGGCCCTTGCAAGGGCCTGTGTGCGTGGTACGGGGGTGCCGGCAATTAAACGTCATTAGCTTCGTGGTAAGAGTGTCTCCCGTATCAGGTGGTTGACAGACAGACGGAAGCAAGCCTGCCGCATCTGTTGTGGCCATTTGGGTAGACCTCTGCCGTGGCTCGTTTGGGCGTCTGTCCACGAAAACTGGGCTTCCTCTTTAGCACTCAGCAAAGGAGAAGAATGCAGGAGGAAGAAAAAGACACAACTCCCAACATGACTTCAGTGGCTCCACCTAACAGAGCACAAGGCACAGGAACAGAGAGAGTTGGAGAAAACAGAAATGTCCAGAGAGTGACACAATCACTCACTGGACTCTCCACACTCATCAAGAAATGATTTGACACTATTTTGGAAGGGGGAAGAGGGGCTGAAGTAATGAACTAGAATATCTTTCACTCATCCCACTAGCAAGTCTTGTCTGTTGTTGGTAGGTAGAATCATCTCTATGCTGGCGATCTTCTATTTGTTCCCCACCTGCTGCCCCCTTCTGTTGCTTCCAGCCACTGTCTGCCTGTCTCTATTTTGCTGTTTCCCCAAAAGCTACCTCTACAGGTGGCCTTGCCCAGGCTCCCTTCCAGCTGGCCCACAGTTGGTCCTGGCCATTGGGAAGCACCAGTGGGAGACCAGAAGGTGAGAGGAGAAAGAAAGACTGGGATCTTTCTTCCCTGTTCCTCCCTGCTTCAGTGTCACAGCTCTGGCAGGAGCTGAGCAACCATGCCTCCATGATTACAGTTCTAATGGGCTCTGGTCATAGGCCTAGGGGTGGCAAAGACTTCCCACTGTTAGTGTCTGGGTGCCTCAGCATAACAAAGGACTGTCAGCCTGTCCCATGAGGCCTCTTATGAAAGAAAGTCATGAAGAGAGGAGGAAAGAGAGAGGAACACACAGAAACAGGGAAACAGGCAGAGAGTAAGACAGAGAAAGAGAGAAACATACTTGAAATGATTAAATGAGAGCTTCTTTTCCTTTGCTAACCCCAGCTCAGCCATTCTCAGTCAGGATCTCTGAAAGATCTTTGAAACAGAGCCTAATGTAAAAGGCTGATGATTTATAAAAGCAGCAAGGACTCTTATGTGGAAATAAAGGGGAAGAAGATCACACATGGTCTTGAAGAGATCTGTTGTTTTGAAGTGGGAAGTTGTGCTAAGGGTGGCCTTTCAGCAGAAACATTTCTCTCAAGTCTTTAGAAACTGATGAAGGGTAAATAATAAAGCAAAGGCTCCATTTTCCTTTGGCTGCTGGTGGGTCAGAACCATCTGGGCTAGAAGAGCCTGCTGGAGAGCTGAGATCTTGACCACTGTAACCCCAATTAGTCATGGAGCTTGAACAAATTCCTAAACGCCATTTCCTTTCCTGTAAGATGGGATTGATGATGCCTATACTACTTCCCCAGGCATGCTTCATGAATGGAAGCGTGAACAAACATCACACTGAACAAGCGCAAAGCACCACACCAGGGCTAGTTCCTTTTATAAACTGATGATACTTGGTCCAAGAACAGAGATTATTTTAAGTATGGTG